CATCCCCCATCCGGTGCAGGGCCTGCCAGAGTGGAGCGGGAGACCAGCCCCGTGACTTCCCTGGGGCTGCGGTCGCTGCGGGAGGAGAGCCGGGGACAGAGAGCCTTTAAGTACCAGTGTGCATAGCTACCAGGCCAGGACTTCCCCTGTGACCCCCACTTCTGTCTGCATGGTGCCCCTTTCACAGAGCAGCCCAACGGATCTCCACCGAGGTCCGTTCCCTGGAGTTCCTTTGTTCCCAGAGCTGAGACTTCCATGGCAGGGGGAGGAAGAGCTGCTTTGAAAAGCCCGTTGGCTCTTGCCAGCACTAACTCTCTTTTCTTTTCTCCTTCCAGAGCCGCGTGTTGTGCTCCAGAGCTGCAGAGTATGTCTTTGCTCTGAGGTCGGACTGAAGCCCTCTGCAGTGGCGCCGGAGGAGACGCCCTGTTGATGAGCGTTCCCATCTGAGCTTTCCCCAGTGGCCGGCGGGCTGGGGCTAACCACAAGGCTTTGGGGATCTTTGGCTTTGGGGGTGGGTTTTGGGGTTTTGTTTCGTTTGGGGGTTGTTTTGTTTGGGGGGGGTTTGGTTTTGCTGTTGTGCTCCGGGCACCATGTCAAATTCGGGCTCCCATCAAGACACTGGGAACAAGGCAGAGACGGAAAAAAATACCCAAGATGACTCTCAACCCCCCGTCAACTCCGAGAGGAGGAACAAAAGTGGAATAATAAGTGAACCTTTGAACAAAAGTCTTAAGAAGTCCCGTCCACTCTCCCACTATTCCACCTTTGGTAGCAGCAGCTCGGTAAGCGAACATTCAGAGAAAGGCAACCCCTTAGCTAATGGCATCGAAGCGACTGTGGATAAAAGTCATTCTACCTCAAAGCACAAAAACATCTCTAGTATGCTGAGCAAACTCGACCGGGTGTCGGAGCTCTCCTCGGAAGGACAGACCGCCCTACAACAGTTTGCTCAGTCAACAGAAATGCTCAAAAGAGTGGTACAGGAGCATCTTCCTCTAGCAAGCGACCACGGGACTGGGATCTCTGACATGGAGGCAGTCTCAGCTGCAGAGACAATGAACGGCCCCTCCGATTTTCCTTACCTGGGGGCTTTTCCCATCAACCCAGGCCTTTTCATCATGACCCCTGCCGGCGTGTTTCTGGCAGAGAGCGCGCTCCATATGGCTGGCTTGGCAGAGTATCCCATGCAGAATGAGTTGGCATCTGCCATCAATTCGGGGAAAAAGAAACGGAAAAGATGCGGCATGTGCCCGCCCTGCCGAAGACGGATAAACTGCGAGCAGTGCAGCAGTTGTAGGAATCGCAAAACTGGCCACCAGATTTGCAAATTCCGAAAGTGTGAAGAACTCAAAAAGAAGCCTTCTGCAGCACTGGAGGTAACCGGCCCCTCTCAGGCACCCTAACCCCTCCTCGGGCTGCGCTCCTGGGTTCGGATCTGGCCCTAGATAATAAAGCGCCTGGTACTTCTTACTTTTTTATTTCCATCCCACCCCCTTTTCCATTACCAGTTCTCCCTGCACCGTGAGATGTGTGCTCTGCCCAGTGCCCCCAGTCCTGCCCTCTCTCACGTACTGGAGTTGGTTGGCTTGGGGAGGAGGGCTGGGGGTGGTCTCTCTGGGGTGTGCTGGGTTTTGCTGTCCCCATTGCAGGCACGGGCAGGAGGTGACTTTTGGGGGTAATGGGTGATGGTGGAACCCGTGACTGTGTGCAGCCCTTCAGTTCACTGTTGGCTCTGAGCAGCAGCATGGTGGTCCCTGGTTTTGGGTGGTAGAAGCTGGGCAGCATCTCCTGTGCTGTGGCCATGCTGGGTCTCCAGCATCCCCCTGGGGCAGTCAGGATGAGTCCATAAGGCACCATCCAGATTTCCCACTGACAGCTGAGCTGTGGTCCTGCATCTGACTGAGCTGGGAACATCCTTACTGAGCATTGGGGTGCTGGGATCCCGTGGTGTGAGGCTTTGGGGTGGTACCCGTGCGGTCACTGCCCAATGCGGTCCACCCATGTTGGTCTCAGAGGATAGCCATTGGGCTGGGATACCAGCCACTGTTGGGTTGGGGGTGCCACCTTTTCAAATCCACCACGGATGTGCCATATTCATGTGGGAGCACAGGAAAAGTCCAGTGACTTGGGTTGAGGCTGAGCTGGGGCCAAGGCAGGGGTGACGGCTGGTACATTGGCACGCTGCTCTGGCAGAGCCTGCCTCTTGCCGCACACCCGTGGGTGCTCTGGGTCAGCACTTGTCTGATGAGTGTTGTACTGAAGCTGGGTTTGGTTTTTCTGGGAGCTGAACCCACTGTGTCCTGCCGGCAAAGGCTAAGAAGTCACCCAGACTGATTGCACACCCTGGAATGGGGGCACTGCCCATCCTCTGCTTGTCCCAGAGAGACAACCCACTGTTTGCTTAGCCACGTTCTATGTTTTTCAATTAGCATCAGCTCTGAATGAATAGTGAAGGGGTGAAAAAATCCCTATCTGGGTGGTGGGGGTGAGGAGAGGGGGACTGTGTCTTTCAAAAACCGCTGTATTGCTAAATTATATTCTTGTTCTAATTTGCTGAGTCAGTGATCTGGAAAAAGGGAGAAAGGGAAAAAAAAAGAGTTCATCTCTTCCAAAGAGTCCTAAAGCGGGTCAATAGACTTGGAGCTGCAGCAGCTGGAGGAGTCGCTTCTTTCTCCTGGCTCTGAGCCGGGCCTGGGGATGATAAATAGCACTGGGAGCCCGTGGAATGGTCACCTGTGTTGTGGGTTTCCCCATCCTCCAATTAGCTGAGCCACTGGAGTAGGGCTGTTTGTGTGATAGAGTTGGAACCCAGCAAAGATTCGTCCTGGGCATGACCATGGGTGTGCTGAGGCTGAAAAGAGATGTTGTGCTGGTGGGCATGGGCACCAGGGTTGATGTGGGTTTCTCCAGGGCATCACTATCCCCATTTCAGAGCATATCTTCCCTTCTCTTAGGATACCCACTTGTACCATCTTTGACCTCGGTAGGATTGAACAAGATAACAGCCGTTATGGGGCTGGGACAGGAACACCAAGACCCCGGCTGATGTCCTATGGTCACCTGGGTCCATGAGTGTGTGGTTAAACCTCTCCTTATGTCAGCCAGCCTTGGTAATGTATTTTGTTGGGCCAACCACTGACACCTGCCTTGTGGTGGAGACCCATCTGGAGGTGGCGGTGGCCAAGCCACCATGCTGCTGCCAGCTCGGCAGCTCCAAGGTGCCATCACACCATAGTGCTTGATACTTGGACAGGAGAGGCCATTCAGTGGTCCTTTATATGGGGCTAATAAATTCCTAGGAAGTATCCTAGGAATTCCTAGGACAATTCCTAGGAAGTGTCATCTATGTCTGGGGGAGCAGTGTCATTGCCAAGGAGAAGAGACACCGGTGGTGACTTCAACCTGCCAGCCTGGTGTGTCCAGAGGAGCATCCTCGGGGAGCCCAGACAGGAGCTAAGCTGTGATTAAACATTGATCTAAAACCAAGCAGTAAAAACCACATAGAATTAAACCTTTATGGCAGCATAAAAGAAATGGGCTAAATCCCTCTGCCACCATTAGGCTTTATCAGCACATCTACAGAGCCCGAATAACCGGTCTCTGCTGGTGCCCCAGTGTGGTGTGGGCTGCCCGAGGCTCTGAGACTGGTGAGGCAGGTTGGATGCTCAGAGCAGGCAGCAGCACGTCCCTGTACCGACCAGGCTTCTCCAGCCCTGGCCAGGTCACTCTGGGCTTGTATCTAGAGCTGTAGGTCACACGAAGGCCATGAATAGTCAGGATTTGACTCAACAGAGCTGTCCTCCATCTGGAGAAGCCTTGGTGAAGTGCCTTGGTGACCAAGCAGTGGTGTGAGGGTCTCACACCTCACATGACTCTCACAGAGACTTTTCACCAAGGCCTGTTGTGGCAGGACAAGAGGCAATGGTTTTAAACTGGCAGAGGGCAGGCAGGGTTAGGTTGGAGATAAGGAAGAAATGTTTTACAATGAGGTCACCCAGAGAAGCTGTGGCTGCCTCATCACTGGAAGGATTCAAAGTGAGGTTGGATGGGGCTTGGAGAACTTGGTCTAATAAAAGATGTCCTGCACATGTGAGGGGAATTGGACTGGATGGTCTGCAAAAGTCCCTTCTAACCTTCTGTGATTCCTTCTTGAATGTTCCAACTGGCTCTGTGATTCTATGATCATGGGGATAAGGGGTGATCTATGCTGGGCATCCACATTAGAGCTGGTTGTCCATCTTCCTTTAATAATGAAGGGGCAGAGGTGTTGAAGGTGACCTCTATCAGACATGTCCTTCCAGACCCTCGTTCCTCTCTCCTCGGATGATGTATCTGAGTAGGTGGCCCTTGCTGGCGAGTCCACCATGCTCTGCCCTGGTTCTGCACCCAGTGCCTTGGGTGGGATCCAGCATGGGTGGCTGTGTGCCCTTCCACAGCCTGTGCATCATTGGCCAGAGGCACTTGTGTCTTCCCCCGATGCCTGATTACATATTGCAGAGACCTTTGGGGAAATGGTGATACCCCCAGCTCAGTTTGCCCAGAGGAGACCTAACGCAGGCCAAAAGCAGGAGAAGGTGTGATCCATCAGTAGCTTAGCTGGGTACCACCAGCACTTGCCCATTCTCGTCTTTTGCCATTCTCCCCTTGCCCAAACCCTGTGTTTGGGTCATGATGCCCATGGAAGTGAGCATGTTGGGGTCCCCCTTGCAGGGGTGGGGGGAGGTGCTGCCCTGGTACTTCATTGGGGCTTGGTGGGTATCTTGATCCAAGAGAAGGACTGAGTGAGAGCCGCCTGGCTTGTTTCCAGTTGGTGTCCCTTGCTTGTCTGGAGATGCAGGAGCCGAAGGGCCCTCTGAGGCACATCCTCTATGAGACAGTGTGGCCCTACCTGCTGGCTAACATGGCTTTGCCTTGCTTGGAGGCTGTTGGCATTGAGAGACATTGTGGTCCTTGCGTACTTCACCCATGGTCTCATGAATGTTGTGTGGGCTTCCCACCCCATCCAGCTGGGAAACGTCCCAGGTTCTCCTTCCAGAGGACCAGAGAGCTGTTGGGGCCATTGCACCACACCACCTTTCCTGGAGGGGTCTTCGAAGAGGTTCATCAGTTGTTGGGCACTTTGTTGTGTGTGAGATTGAGCCTGGCGGGACTCATCCCTTTTCCCTGTGAGATGTTGAGGGGTCCTGTTGTTGCCCAGGGCTGCTCTGTTTGGGACAAGGTTGTTCACTGTGTCAGGGGGGTGACATCTTTTCTGTCCTGAGCAGCTCCTGGGTCTGGCGTCCATAAGCATGACCAGCTCAATCCCTGCCTCAGTTTCCCCCAGATGCCCTCCTATATGATATATTGGCTGGGTTCCTGTCTGCTGGGTGTCCATTCATCCATGGCAGGGAAGGTGGGGGCTGTGCCAGGCCATGCTGGGTCATTGTGGCCTGGGAACCTTGGAAAGTGTAGTCCTATCTGTGGGATGTGGAGTCCATCCTGAAGCCGGTGGCTGGGATGCCGGGATGGGAATGGAGGGGTGGAGGGAGGTGATGCCACAAGGCTGTGCCGGACCCGACCTAACACCTTGTCCCTTCTTCTTCTATCCCCCCCTCCCTGTCTCTCTTCCTTTCCAGAAGGTGATGCTTCCTACAGGAGCCGCGTTCAGATGGTTCCAGTAGGAACGGGAATCCCAAAGCTCTGTCATCCAAGTGCAATGTCACTGCTTGCTTGTGTTGTCTCAGGCAAGGGATTTTTGGCTGAAATGAATGGATGCACCTGTGTCTCTTTAGAACCAAAAATATTTTCTCGCAAATCTCATTCCTGTTTTTATAATTTTATTTTTCTTTTCTTTCTTTTCTCTCTTTTTTTCTCTTTTTTTTTTTTTTGGCGTTCGTTTTAACATCTCCGAGTCCGAGTCAGACATTTAACTGCTTTTCAAATAAAAAATAATGAAAAGGAAAAAAAAATAATATACAAACACAATGGATCTGTAAAGTACCAAGACTTAATAGACAGAGTATGGACAATCAGTTTCTTTCTGTGTTTTTGGTGTTGATGTTGTTTATGTGTGAAAGATGCAGTACTTGTGTATTTTGTAAATTTACAGTAACCTTTGAAAACCTAGTTACTAATAAGCACTACTGTAATTTAGCACAGTTGTTTAATTGCACCCTCATTTATACTTTTTCTTTGATTCTTTCCCATCATACAATAGAGTGGGTAGTTTCTAGAATGCCTCAACTTCATGTTTATAAATGAGAATATGTTTAAAGCGATGTAGTATCCCCTTTTCCTAGCCATTCACCGATGGAAGTTTAACCTGGTATCAAAGGTGGAAGGAAACAATTGCTACATAACTGGGGGTGGTCGAGAAAGGAAAAAACAAAAAGGATTAAAAAAAAGGCAAAAATAAAGGAAAAAAAAAAGGGTCATTGTTAGTTTATTACTCTAGAGCAAGGAACACTGCGGCCAGAACCCTCCTAACGCAATGGTTTGCTCCTAGAAGTAATTTTTGTCAACTTACTGAAGTTAAAAATCAAACTCCAATCCCGATCGCAGGACCTGTGCTGAAGCAGTTACAACAAGTGACATTTCTCTTCTGTTCCCATCCCCGTCTCTCCAGCTCTCTCTCCATCATCCAATTGAAATGCTGTTTGTAATGTTTTAGCGATCCAGGCTGGTTTTGTGAATAAAATGAATGCATGTTTTGTGTCATGATTTCCAGCTCTGTTATTTCTCTCCCACCCCTCCCTCCTGCCATCCAAGTCCCCCAGTGGTGGTTGGATCCCTCCTGGCTCTGCCTGCCTGTGTGTCCCGGTGGGATGGTGATGGTACGGTGATGGTATGTTGAGTGAGCTGGAGTCACCCCACTGCTAAATCCACACGGTTAATCCCAGCAGTGGATGGGCTAAACCAGCCCTAGCTCCTCCCAGGGATATTTCCCAGTTTGACCTGCCTGGAGTTCTAATGGGTAGTGCAAGGCCATTGGTTTTGGTAATGCAATATCATTGACGTGCCATGGAGAACCGCAGTGAGGCTCCTTTGGTCAGGACAAGTTCAAAACGAGCTCCCAAAGGTGAGCAAGCTCAAGTGGCTGAGCTCTGGTGCTGCTGCTGGATGGCTTTCCAGGCTGGGTCTGAGGGAGCCATCTGGGATGGAGGGGATGGAGCCAACCAGGATGGAGAGGATGTTGGATGGGTTCAGTAAAGTCTATGCTGGTGCTTGGGTTGCTGTGCTTGGCATTGCAGGTGGACTGCCTGCCCCCTTGTAACTCTCAGGAGGGTCTCCTGGCCATGCAGGCAGGGTCATCCCATCCTGGTGGAAAAGGCAGATATGCCTGGACCTGTCGATGCTGGGAGGAGGAAATGAGAGCCTTTGTCCCTGGCTCCAGCCAGCGTTTGGGCCAGCATCTGTTGACCAGATGTGCACCCAGAGGAGGGGGGGAGATGGTGGTGCCTATGCTCCATCCCACCGACCCACCAGGACCAAGCAGAAAGTCCCTGGGGGAAAAATGCCCCGAATGCCCTCTCCAGCAGTCTGGCACACCAGCAGCTCCCAGGGGGTTGGAGTCTGGCACCAAGGTCACACTGTCAGGCTGCCTGCAGGGATGGCTGGAGCTGATGGCGATGGTGATGGAGCTGGGCCAGCGTGGCAAGGGACAGAGGTCAAGGCCTGCAGGGACAGATGGACCAGCAGTGCTCTGGTGCATGGCATTGCCTGGCTTATGGACCAACCAGGGTGGCACTGGCAAAAGGCTGCAGGGAGCTGTTTCCCAGTTGTGGCTGCTCGGGCAACAGCCGAAA